TCAAACTATAATTTATATTTCAGAAGTAACCAATGGTTCATACAGAGCTGAATTTATTGGTAAGCTTACAAACCACCTTCATAGGCACATGATACGGTGGTTTCTTAAGATTATTGACCTAATAGTTCCTTCGATGTTCCTCTTTACTGGCAGTTAGTTAACGATGGAAGCGCGCAATTTAACTGGCTTCAAGTATCGGAGCAGGAATGGGAAAATCATTTAGATAACACTTTCGTTAAGCATACGAATGAATTCACACCCACTTTCGAAAAAAGTGGTATCTCGATATTGCCGGAAGACTTATTCTTTTACAGTTTACTTCGTAATGACTAACAGTGAGATTCAGAAAGCACGTCTCTTCTTATTTGGCACTCGTTAGATGGATGTATTTGCACTCCAATAAGTGATGGTATATGATTGATGTGTAGGTATAGTCTGATGTGGAAGCTTGCAATTTCCTGTCACCCAAGGAATGTCTGTTGCGACTCAGTAGACTAGTAGATAACGCTCTGGCATTTGAAGCGGTGCGTTATGGATTCCAGTCTCAATGAAAACACCACCACTCACTGGCGGTACAGAGACATCTAGCTGATGAATCCCATATGGAACAAAAGGCTAGTCTTAAATTTCAGTGTTAGTCATTAACTTTTATCACTTACTTTATAACAACTAACATAGTGTGTGGTGTGAAAGGTGGGTTAACATGAGTTACACGTGTCTCAGTCACCTTAGTCAATGAAGGTTTACCGCTTCTCAAAGTGACTCAGTCCTTTCATTTAAAAATATATACCTCATATCTATATTATTCATGTTGTAGTCATAAGAAACATAGCTACTTTTGCTAGGGCAAGGGGTAGTCGAACAGCTACAGTCTTCCCACACCATCCAACTTGAATAGAAAATCTTCATAGGCACAACTTAGCACAGCTACTCTACACATTGGACCAATAGTAATTAGCTGGATTTCCCACTGGTATCATAGATGGTATCAGTTGGAAAAATGTAGGTCAGTCCATTGTACCCATGCCGACATTTCATAGGTCACTGACCCACCAGGGCTGATCCCACCCCCCAGGTTAGTGAAGTGCTCAGTGCATTCAACCACTGTAGTCACTATTGTTGGACGATGCACCAATGCAGACCAGTCCCGAAGTAACAGTCTACATTTCGGCAGTAAATAAGCAATGGATTCCAGAGATTGTTGAATTATCATTCAATATGTCCTCAAAATACACCTTGTCAGCATCTTGACCAAGGAGTAAATCGTCTGATTACTCTGGATTTGCTAGGAAGTCCCCATTTAGGTCAGACTAAGACAGAGGAATGCCTATGAGTACATCTTCGACAAAGCTAAATAAAGTATAGGAAAGTAAACAGCTCGTATGATACCTCATCGTAGACTAAAATGTATAGGGCTTTCAGTAGTGAAGTGATTTTTGCGGAGACTCCTTTCGGTGATAGACACTTCCATACAGTCTCTTGACTAACAGGGACGAACACTAACTTTATTTAAAGGTATAATAATAGTATCGGACCCCGGTAATTGTACCTACGTCCAAAGAGCAGGCAGAATATAAGTATCTGATAGATATACCCCGACCAGGTCTGAAACTAGCTTAATGTTCTCAAGATCCTTCTCGCAAGGCCATTTAGGCACCCAGTTATTACGCAGCCCAGGGTTTTTAGCAGTGTTTGTCAGACCGATTCTTTTTTGAGTAACCATTGATTTCCCACACGATTTCCTTGATAAGTCAAACTGTATTCTGCCACCTGTTTCAGTTGCTTACTCCATTTCTTAGCCTTCTTTAATCATGATCACCCTATTCGTTAGTTAGACACTTTATCAGTCTGCGTCCGAGTTGCTTTCGCTTTCCATTCTGCTGGAAGCTTGCAATGATGTGATCACGTATGTCCATCATTTCGACAGAGTTGCTAAAATCCAATGACTGCATCTACTCTTTTCATGAAGATAAGGTACGCACTTCCCTATTGTTTCCATAGTTATCTAGAAGTGATTAACTTTGTTATACCCCTGTAAATTTATACCCATTTCACGTTTGAAAATAGTCTCTCCATCCTTATATTCAAGTTGAACTAATACAGGTCTTTCGTTCGTACCGTCCCTACACCTCAAACTGAGGTGGGGTCGTTGTTTAAGTGCTTGCTACAGAAGAAACGGCAGCCTCCTACGAACCGCCCCTAGTGATAACTGAGAAGTAACTGTCAGTTTGTGTCCCCATTGAGTTGAGGTTGTAGTCACTAAGTTAGATAATCCTTAGTACATCTGAAATTCATTGTATCTAGAAAGAGCTGGTTATCTGAAAACATGTATAGCAGGCGGTAGCCAATACCTGTTGGTTCGGCTAAGATCCCAGTGGCACCACGTTGATGAGTTTTCGTCCGGCTAAAATCCCTTGCGAAAGTTATCTGTCAAGAAGAAAACACCCAAATGTTTAGCCTTCAGAAAGAGACTAGACAGCTTTCGTTACAATTGATGTCTCACTTTAGTATGGAAGTAAAACTTGGGTACTGTGGTAGATAGTAATTCCATTTTAATCTGTTTATTAGAAATGTCATACACTAAAACAGTATCATTTACTGGACAAGGTTTTGGACACAGTTTACTGACCATACACATATCAGGTAACTCCACAACTTTGAGACAGAGTTTATACAGGCCCAGTTTTCTCTCCTTCTTTGTGACAAGGGCAGTAGAATTTATCATATATCTGGGACAGGTGGAGAATCATTTATATTGCATGCATAGATGGCGTTGATTCGATAAACAAATATTTAGTTATCAATTTTCCGTCCGCGTAACTAAATTAGTTTTTAATACTGTCACTCTAGCCCACCCTACTGTGTTTCAAAGTTGTGGAGTTACGTCATATGAATATGGACAATAAACTGTATCCGAAACGTTATCCAGTAAGATGTTCCAGTTTATTTAAACTGTAATCATTGAGTATACAAGTCGAAGAAAAAGACAATGACGTAAGTCAGCAGTCATTTTAGATTTAACTATGCCATTTACTCGAGCCGTGGGCTTTCTGATTTAGTGCTTATCGCTATATCTGTACCTCCAAGAGCCTGAGGACGAGCTAGGGAATCTTCCTGCCTATGTTATCATAGAACATTAAGAAAATCTGGTTGAAACCGGTCATATATGGCTCTTTGGATGCTTCTGATTTGAATTAGGCTGTTACATCTGCACTTGCAGAAAAATCCACACTGATAGTGTCGAAAGTTTTAGGTATGGGAAGAAGTGTGCTATTTTTAGGGATAACGTTTATAAACTCTTCTAAAGCCATGGTAGAACTAACTTGGAAACTTGGTTATCCTCAGAAAACACCTTATTGCTGTCAAATGCCATGCAGCCAGTAGTTCGGCTTCATCCTTGAACTCATACCATACCGTATATTATTAACAGTATGCTGGTAAATGTTTACAGTCTCTTAAGTATCCAAAAAGCCTTTATGAGATGATGGAACACAAGGAGCGACTATCCTAATCGAAATAGCTGGTTAGATAATTCAGATAAGCAAGTCGGAACATCTCGTAAATTTAGCAGCTCTCGGTTGGTGAGTACACGCTGAAGTCAATAAATCAACTTAGTAAGGTTTGAAGGTAGCACTTAAAAATGAACACTATAAATGATACTGACTGATTTTAAAACACTGAATAGTATGAAGGGTGAAGATTCAAAAGAAAAGAAATAATTGCTAGAAAGCACCTAGTGATAAGTAGGATAAAAAGTAAACTGCCATTTGGGATATATACAAGAATATGGAAAAATAATGTATTTGCTTGACTGAAATAGTTTATGAGATATGGCATCTTTAGTCTAAAAATCCCTATTCATACTCAGACGATATCCTTTAGTTTTTAATTTCATTTTAGAACAATAGTCAACGATTTCCTGGATTGATGATAATTTTAACAAAACAGTATTAACAGCGCTGTAATCCACTCAATGAAAGTATAAGATAACCATTTCACGATGAAATTAATTTTGCTTATCCTTTAACTACACTCAAAATTTAGTCACCAAAAAAGTATTATTTTACAGTTTACCACATACTTTTAATTATCGTCCATTTGTCTTCTGGGTCATTAGTGACTGAAATCCTAGTGTTATCATTATTATATATTATTTATGTTTTGGGTTTCTGGTGGAACGCAAAGCTTCAATAGCACATAGCCATTTCTCTCTGTTCTCTGCAGTCTTTCGAACTCGGCTCCACTACTGCCCAAAAGCTTTCATTTCTTCCTCACACCGTCTCCTCCATATCACCTTCGCCTCGGACTCACAACTCGTCGTTTCCCATTCGACTTACGCTCAACGGCCTGTCCTGGTGTATGATGTACCCAAACCGCCTTCTCAATGTATGTCCAATTCAATCCATCCCCACTTTCTGCTTCTGCATATTTGTTGAGCGATGGGTTGTTGGTTGATTCGTTGCCAGCCAGCCAGCCAGAATTCCTCGTTGCTTATACTTATTATTCTGACTATCTGATCTTCGGTATCGAGTGAGGGTATGTGGCAGCTGTTGGTCATATATGTCTGCAGTTTATTGGAAATGCTTTTCGTAACGCACCAAGTCTCTCAACCATCACATCAAAGCACTGATTCACTTGACTGACATTAGTGTTGAAAATCCGGATGTTGTTTATGCACGCTTTATGCTGAGTGCAGTGCAGTGGAGTACAGTACAGTAGATCTTTACACTAATTTCAGGTTAATGAAGGTCTGTCTTGTTGTCTTTCCGATCCTGGCTTTGACATCCTCATCTGAGCCGCCGCCACCGCCGCCTGTAGTTGAAACGATGCTGCCTTGGTAGGTAGGTGAAAGCGGCAACTTCCTTTAGGTTTCTCCCGTTGATGATTGGTGCTTATAGTTGTTCTATAAGATACTACAAATAAGCTGATATGACGTAAATTTTAAGATATAAAAAAATAGAAAAAGAAATAAGAATGCAACGTTTTGCTGAGCTACTTACCAGCTATTGGTAGAACTGGATCAGGTTTTGTGCTTATGAATAGGTGTTTTGTACACCTTCTAGCCCACGTGTTATGTACATGGATAGCTTTCTTATAATAATTCCCTGGATGTGTATTGATATAGCATAATATTCTTATTTTATTATACAATTTCCTTGAGTGATTTATATCTACTAAAAGTAAAAGTTATTATATTTTGTTTATCAATGATGACAGTAGAAAAAAACTTACTGTGCACTTTCAACGGAGGATCAAGTGATAAAGTTAAGTTAGTTTTGTTATCATCAGTATTGGTATACCTATTTCTTCGTAGACTCTCAGTACTTTCCTTGTTCAAGTTATCAGGTGAATTTGATACTTTAATTTGATGATCACTTTTGTGATCAATATTTTTGAAGATATATTCTGTTAATATATTTGATAAGTAATTTTTTCGATAATTATAAGTATTTCGTTGGTGGTAGTGAAACAGCCTTCCGGGTATTTCATTAGTCGAGAGAAGTAATCCAGTTAAAAGTCCAAGCAGCAAACAGCATACAAAACGACCTTTAGAATATCCTTGACACGTTTTTTGATAATCCAACTCTTTCATGTACACGTTGAAGTTATATATTAATGTCTTTAAAAGTAAGTATTCTTTCAGATAGTTCCCTCATTTAATTATTATTGACACAGTATGCCTCAAAAAATTAAAACAAAATAATCTGTTAGAATATTAAGGATAGCACTAATTAGTAAACCTTGATATTGACATGGGATAATAAACAGGACCAAAAATAGGATTTGATCTCCTGTCAAATACAACATAAAAATTTTCGGATCAGGAATAAAACTATCTATCGACTGAACTATAGTACTCAGTTTTACTGGAAGGGCCTCTAACCTCAACGAGTAGGTTATCAGTTCAAAAACACAGAGATACTTGGTGAAAAAATTCCATCACTTTTAGTGCCTTTAGAATTACATCTAAGCTGAGGATCAGAAAGGATTAAGACTGGTTCTCTGTAACAGCATCACATTTTAAAAAAGATGTCCAGCTACTAAGACAAGCTTCATAGCACTGTTATAAACTCTTTACTGCTCATGATCGTTGGGGAAGCTTCTTCAATGTTTACTCAGCTTTGCTCCATTAAAGGAAGGTAACATTCGTAACCCTAGTGGAAATCGATGGGTGGCAGTTAGTGTCTTCTTCATATTCCAAGCAGACACTGACAGACTGAAGGTCCTTTTGAAAATCCACAGGACTATTCCCACAAATTCTATTTGAAATGACTCAGCCGTCTTTACTACAAAAGAACATCGACTTTTCTTTCCAGGACTGAACAGAAATGCATTGATCACATCTCTGCACTTCATTTACACTTAAGCGCACTCAACATTTCCCATATTACTATAATAAAAGGTAACAACCGACCTCATCAACAGAAAAGACTTGAAGTGTCCAGTACAAGCATATTTGCCACTAAGAGCTCTCTACTTAAACTCATGCAAACATACCAAAGCTTATAGAGAACTGACATCTGAAGTGAGACAAAGAGCAGTATCCGGTAGAAATGAAAGCTGTCATCTTTACTGTTCAGATTTTTGTAGACGTACTCATGAAGGTGGAAGATCCTAATTTAACTACTTAAGTGTTGTTCACCTGCCCCGAGAAAATTTGGTCAGTCTAGAAGATAAGGATGATATATTCCCATTGGTCAAAAATGTAGACAAAATGTAGCTTTTCTGAATACATTTAAATGCTCTTAGGATGTTAAAATGCGTCTTATGCTTGTCAAATATAAGACGATACTGCTGAACTGGTGTTTCATCAAAATAATTTAAAAACGAAAGGTGAAATGGTTGGATGTACTTACTGTATTACCTATTGAAAAAGTTTCATTAGTCAAAAAAGGCTTATAGGCGAATAAATCCATGGCTGTGTGTTATGGTCGCGAGAACTGGAAAATATAACAAGCTTGGTTATTATCAATTTATTTGTATTTAAATATTGAGTCAATCAACAGAAGACTGTATGCAGAATTGCCAGATCGTATGGCTTAAGGACCGCTTCGTCAGTTTTGTCGATTGACTTCAATTAGCATTTAGGGTTCGACTACTGCTTTGGCTACCATCCTGTGACAAATCCGTGAAGAAAGCATTTATCACTGTTTCATCCTAAACTATCGTGACTGTAGTAATCAAGATAATCTACAGAGACTTCTAAACTGATTGAATGCAAAGAGCAGTAAGGATAGCTGGTTTTATCATTCACCTAATACAATGAATTTGTACAGTATTCAAGACATTTGCAATATGTAAAGCCCCTTGAAGGCTTCACTAGGGTGTGTAATTCTCAGTCATCATTTTTCAATAATACTGTAGGTCGCTTGCTCGATATATGCTAGCGCCACATGCATACTATATCGTTTACAAAATTAGGAATGAAAAGATATCAATTTTTTAATAAAACTGTTCTTCGAAATTCTTTCTTTTTCCACCTCTTTAGGCAGTTGTTCTACAGTAGAACTAATTTTTCAAACCGTCAGTTGAAATGATGCAGTATCCTTGAGAGATCTTGATAAGTTTCACATTTTACTTGATAGTAATTTATTCTGACAAATAAAAACAGAATCTAAAGTTTATAAGGAATACCGGTTATGAATGTATTCGCATTGAGACCTCATAGGTTACTGGTTTACTACTTAAACCATGAGACCCTACAAACAATCAGATAATCAGTTTGGAGGTTTGTAGAGATTCATTTATTCATTTCAGGTTAGTATTTATCATGGACTGATATAAGCTGGAGAAACATTTGAAACCTGGGAGCACTGGACAGATGTTTTGTCCTAGTATAGGACTCCTCAGCAATGTATACCCGTGACCCTGCTAAGGATCGAACCCAAAACCTTCAGGTTCTGCAGCCAGCACGTCATCATTAAGCCACTAGGTCAAAATCCAATGGTTTATATTTCTTACCAGATTCCGACCCAGCGGTTCATCTGTAACGTGCTGACCGCATTGTTTAAATATACCTTCGGTATTGGCTTTCAGATGGTCTAAGCTATCAACTTTGTATGAACATTACAGTTGTATTATCAAGACCATCTTGGTCAATCTAACTAATAGAACAGCTAGATTATTTTTATTAAGACTGTCATTCACTAACGATAAGGTAAGTTAATGTAATTTAACAAACATACTTTTTATGCTAGTTTTTCAAGTAGAAATGCTAACAAGTATTGGTTTGTTTTTAAGAATAAAAGTGTAGTTACACCGCAGTGTTTAAAATTCTTTTCAGCTTGACACTTCAAGAAAAATCTACTAAATGCATATCAAAAGAAATGACTTCCTCATTTTCTGTCGATCGTTAATAAAGAGAAGTATTTCAGAATTTTGATGCACTTCTTTTTGACGAGATCCCAAACAAAGAACTGAATAAAAATAAATACTTGTTGAAAATTAGGGCAGACATGAATATATATATATATATATATATATATATATATATATATATATATATATATATATATATATATATATATATATATATAACTAAAATGTTATTTGGTTATTTGATTGGTAATGCCTACTTAAAGAAAGAGAAAAGAAAGTACTGAGATGAATCACTTCATGTCTTTACACTGACAGCATTCAAATATGTCATTGTCAACCAATTTTATTTACAGTAGTGAATTTTCGTTTTTCTCTCTTACACCTTAATTACATTTAATTATTGAGTGCAGCCTGTTAACCATGAAGAAATGTCATTTATAGGAGTATATTTGGTCTGGATCTTATTTTTGTCAAAGGGAAGTTAACATTTCACATTTGCATACTCAAGAAAATAATAATTTCTTCTGAGAATCAGATTAGTTTTCACAAGTAAAAGAAACAGTGGTTTCAGAATCCACTAATCTTTACCAAGGAGATCATTTACTTACTACCAGTTTAAGATTAATTCTCTAGGTATACTTAAGTGGATATTAGAAAAAGAGACGATGCCGTATTATGGATACCACTGAGTATTACACCATAAAAACATTAAGTATTGATAACTAAATAGCAATCCATTTCATGATGCGATGCCACTTAATATCAAGGGGAACTATTGTTGCTTATGTATTATGAATAACTTCTTCAATAGTCAACTGGAATTATTGCATATACCCCAATTTCATCATTATCATGCCCTAAAATTATTATTTCCCTGTTATGCAATCAAGTAATCATGCACTTGGTCTCATTCTTATGACTAAAATGCCAAATGCATTAAGAAGTATGAGCTGACTATATTCTCCTGTCACAAGGCTAATTTTTGCAAGAGGAGAATTGTCAGCTGAACGAAGTACTATTTATGTCATGGTCCGATCACTTTAATGGATTTGCAAATACCCATGCAGTTCAGTAGTATTTTTTACAGAAGTCGTTTCAATGAATATCTTCTTCTTGTAGCCGCAATAGAAACTACTAGATGACTAAATAACAAGTACATTTTTCAACACCGTATATCTATTACATGCTTTCTTCCACATCTTGATTTCTCAAACCATTACGGATAACTTAGAACCCATAGTAACTCTCTATAAGCCCATCACCGTTGAACCTCTTTTCTGATTTCGTCGGGAAACCCCATCTTTTAGCGTAAAAGGAAAATGAGAAGCTAATTGAAAACCCATATTCCTTCGCTTAGTTAGTCACTTTCTTTTACAACTCGTGAATGGGAGCTCTTGGCATACTGAATTAATTTTTTGGTTTCTTGAGTTTAACCTTCTTGCTTCTTCAACTGAAGATAGAAAAGCCCAATAGCTATTCATACCATCACTCCATTTTCAATATGCTACCACAATACGCTGTTTTGTAGGCGATTGTCATTTCTTTACATTATCTAAATTCAATGAAGGAGTTAGTTCAAATACTGTAATAATATCTTTTTCTTGATACTTGTTTGATGTATCTGAAAGAATGTGTTGCAGTTGGTTCTTAACCGAAAGTTCTCAAAGTATCTACTACCACCCGTATAAGGAGTGTTTAATATCAGCTAGGCTCAAATAAAAGGATTTATAGACTAATAGTTATTTGGGTTATTATGTTTTTCATCCGTCCCAACAGTTATCAAATTACGAATTTTATCACTAAGTAATCAATGTAAGAAATATAGAAAATTGTTATGGATATCGTCAATATGATGAATAAGTGGGAACGAAAGTAATCGGGTCTTAAATGAACAACGATCATATTAGTGCTGACTACGGTTTAAATATGTAAATGATAGACATACAATTATGAAGTTAATGGTGATTTTATTGTTGAGGTAATATTCATCACGGACTAACATCAACAGAAGAAACACTGAAAATGTGGGAGCACTAGACCACTGTTTCATCCTTGTATGACACTCCTGAAGGTCCTGAGTTCGATCACTAGCCAAGTCGTGGGTGCGTACTATTGAGAAGTCCCACACTAGGACGAAACACGTGTCCAGCACTCCCAGGTTTTCAGCTGTTCTCCTACTTATGTCAGTCCGTGATGAATACTACCTTAAAGATATACAACTGTAATAAGAGACTAAGAAAGTTTACTAAGCTAATCTCAGTTAACAGTAATTTC